CAGTGGGTGTCGGCAGACAGACAGGCTGAAGCTACTGAATTAGCACACACACACACACACACACACACACACACACACACACACACACACACACACACACACACACACACACACACACACACACACACACACTGGATTTGGTGGTGATGGTCGAAACTCCTGTGGGAGACTAACTTGGAGATATTTGTGAATTAAATCTTCAGAATTCTCCCGTAAAATCTAAATGTATCTCATTTCAAAGTTTTAAAAAGACGTAAAGTATTCTATCTCGTTGCGGTTTCCCCTTTTAGATTTGACAGTCCTCATGCAGCAACTTTTTCTTACATTTCTTTATTATTTTCTGAGAAAACAATAAGAGAAGTCCTCTCAGAAGACTTCCCTCAGGCGGCTGATTGAGTGTAAAAGGTTTCTCATGCTTCTGCACCGCAGGCTTGTAAAACATGAACGTTGACTTCCTAAAAACATAACTTCCACAGTCCAGACGCATTCTTAATGTGCAACACATGGGACGTTTTAAATTCTCATTACTCTGGTGCTCATTTTAACGAGATATTTGGCTTTGAAGTGAGGAAATATTATATTACACTAAAGGAAAGCCATTACACGAGCAAGACCACACAAACTCATCAAAAGCTTGTTTTTAATGTTCGGTACATTAAACTATTCCGTCTATTCTGCTTAAAACTGTTTTTAAGTAAAGTGTGCTAAATGGGGATTTAGCAATCAATCAATCAATCAATCAATCAATCAGAGTTAATTTATATAGCCCAACGTCACACATTTGACATTTGTCTCAGAGGCCTTTAGAGTCTGTACAGAGTATGAATATGATGTGGATACTGCAGAGGAGTTCTCTCACAGATTTCGCAACAGAAGCAGAAGTGCATTTTCCCCAGAGAGCGGCTGCATGCTCTGGATTTTTTCAGCCAGGTTGTGCAGAATAATTTAAACTGAATTGAACTTTGCCCTCAAATACGCTGATGTCCTTCAATGAACCTCCAATGGGAGTCTGGCTTCTAGAAAAGGAAGTTAGTCAGGAGGATTTCCCTGAGTTATATATCAAAATCCACGTTTTCATGTCTTTTATACATGAACATGTGTCCCCTCTGTGAAGAGACTCTGGGCTGATAACGCTTATATTCATCTGAAGTGGGTCATTGTGCAGAATGAGTACTTTTTGTACTTAAAGTATATTTTCATGCCAATACTTTTCAGTGTATTTTGAAATCAGGACTTGTACTTGCAATGCAGTACTTTGACACCATAGTTATTGTACTTTTACTTAGGTGAAGGATCTGAGTATACTTCATAAATGCATTACTTAAAGTAAAGTTACACTCCAACACCGTCTGTGTATCTAACAAAAGGTAACGCCATTAAATGGACCTAATTACTTACTAATGTACCTGAATGTGTACTTCTGTAAATTGTAATAGTTTCTATTAATACTATGTGCTTCGTCTCTATCTATACTTTGCTCTAACAATGTTCATCCTCTGTGGGACGAATAAAGGACTTCTGATTGTGATTAGAGTTTTTTTCAGGGTGGATTTAAAGGCCTCTTATTATCATGCAAAATGCACTTTTTAATGTAATGGTGTGTTAGTCAGAGATGAACCCAGAGAGAAATAGTACACAGTGTCTCGGTTCAAAGAGGTGGATCCAGGTCATGTGTCTGCCAGCCGCCTGTAGGGGGCACTTTAACCCACATTTATATCTCTTTGGGAGCTACATTTTCTTTCTGTGCCGCCCTCCATCAGCTGCTGCAGCCACCAACCAAACAGGGAACAGGAGGCACTTTTTAAAAAATGCAGCGCCGGGTTTCATCCCTTTTGCAGGATTACGCTCCCCCCGTTTGTGGAAATGTGGAGAGACTTTAAACTCAGCAGAAATAGTTTCCATATGACTGACTCCCTAACTGTGATTATCTCTCAAAGAGCTGTTTCTCTGCATGCATAACAACAAACATGCAGGAGCTGTGTGTTCACATGCATGGGGACACACAGGGCTGTAATTGAGCTGAAGTCACCAGCCTTTTGTTCTGTGTGGACCAAACTCCATGCATCTGTTTTACCATTTAAACATAAATTAGCAGAGGTTATTATTACAAGAATGTATATAAATTAAGATGGACCCTAGTAGGGAAAGCATGTGTTATAATAGCAACAACATAATTAGACAGAAACAAAGAAACACATGAGAATATACAAAGGGATAATAATATATATTAATAATAATACAAATAACATGAATTTACATATACACAGATATCATATTGTGTGTGTATATATATATTTGCGTGTGTGTATATATTTAAAGAGCTGGATGTGAATGATTGTATTCGGTCGGTAGGAGCAAAGTGCTCCTGTTCCAAGGAGAACTCAAATGAACTCAGGCTCCGCTCTGATTGGCTGGAAGCCTCTGCACGTGCCCTTATGAAACGTGCAGGCAAGAGACGATCTGCAGGGGGCGGAGCTAGAGGAAGAGGAGGAATGGGAGGGAGAAAAAAGGGAGGAACGCTGCGGTATCAGAGAGGGTTCACTCATCCCAATGCACAAAGCTTTACTATAACATACCGCTTTTATTTTTATTTAACATGCTTTTGTTTGCATGTGATTGTCTTTAAAAGAGATTTTTTTACCAGGTTTGAACAATAACATTTTCAAATATGTGGACAAAAAGACAAATGTAAACACTTCAAATAGTGTAAAATGTAAAACAGTGTAGAACGTGTATGTATTGCATGCAACTTAACATTGTACAACATCAAATCAAAGTACACAATCCTAAAAGTCGACTTGTGGACCTAGAAAATGATTTTGTTAAAGGTTTGACAGAAACATGTGGGAAAGATTCTAAACAAACACTGTGAAATTGTTTTAAATGGCATAAAAATAACATTTCACAGCATACAATCATATATGTACTATCTTTTAAATCATCTGTGGACTCAAATATGTGTTTTTTTTGTTTGACAGACAAATGTAAAAAAATATATAAAAAGCATGTTTAAATGGCATACAAATTCAATTACACTGCACAAAATCATATATGCACTATCTTATAAGTCATGCGTGGAGTCAAATATGGGGTTTTCTTTCTAGCTTGACAGAAAAATGTAAGAAAGAACATGTTTAAAATGTGTACAAATTACATTTCACAGTATAAATCATATGCACAAGTACAAAATCAGTAAGTAAACTTGAAATAAGGTGTCTGAAAGCTTAAACTAACAGCGCATTGCATATGAGTTTGCTTTAAGAGCGTGTGGGTGACAGTTTGAGATAGTTGGTGGTTGTAGTAGTAGTAAGAGGAGGAGTTAGGGGGAGATGGTGAAACACCCCTGCAAAAAATAGTGGACAACGTGGCTCTCAAAGCATGTTCCTGTCTACCTGCTGAATGTCTCACTGACAGAGCACTACTATAAAGGTACAGAGGGGGAGAAAACATAATCCCTGCCTTCAACATGCCATACAAATACCAAACCGGTGTACTGTGAGTCCCACATTCCTCACTAATGACGGAGAGAAAGTCTACTTTCTGTGCCTCATAAAGGAGATTATAGCGAGTGACCCTGGTTTCTGTATGTGAATGTTAACACAAACTAAGCTTCATAAAATCTGACTTCAAAAGTTGTTTTAATACATTTTACTTAGCGGCAGAATGTCATGCATTCATATGGGGAATGTTATGTATTCTATGTAATCACATAAATAACACAGATATATCTGACAGACAGACAGGCAGTGAGACAGGCAGTGAGACACCCGGCTTCTTCTCACAATCCACGTGTGTCTGTCTGTCCTAACTTTACGCGCCACCGTTTTCCTGGAATCCCACCCTACACCGTATCCCTCCGCGAAATAGTCCCTTACTTCAATGCGTATTAACCAAATGTGCCCCTTTGCGTGTTTTTTCCGCCAGGATTAAATCGAAAGAGGAATCGATGGCGCACATATTGGTGATACATTTGGATGTCATGGTCGGTTTTTGGCTCGTTTGGTTGTTTTGGCGCGGTTTTGCTTGGTGCGGAAGGACACAGGCGGAGGTGGAGGGATATATATGAAGCATTCTCCGCCGAGCCACACCTACTCTGTGTGTGTCTGCGCGGAGGGACTATCCTGTCAGGAAATACCATGCTGCCCTGCTCTCTCTTTAACTTCACACGCAGAAAATCTCACCCCAGAAGACGCTTGTAGTTTTTCCTCTCTCTCTTTGTTGGATTTTACCTCGGATATTTACGCACGGGTTTCTCTATTGTTGTCTTTTTTCCATTTTCCTGCATTTTGACTCTCTCCTGTAAGGACAATTGAAGGTAAGGCGTGCAAAATCATAAAAAAATGCAAAATGTATATTATTCTACTAATATGGCATTCATATCAGTTTATAAATGCGTGTTTGGTGTGCTAGTGTGCATGCTTTTCTTGCAAAATGTGCATTGTGTGGTGCGTGGTGGAAGAAAAGCCGGTTTCACGTGGGGACTCCATGCTTTGCACATGTGAGGTTTAAAGACCGGTAGGGCGGGTGCACATTTGCATTAATCCGCTGCTTTTTGCTCCTGTTTTATTACAAAGGAAACATTGCAGATACTTTAAACTTGTTGACATGTTTTTTTTTGTAAATGCGTCACTTGTAAATTCATTTAAATCGTGTTTTAAATGTGCACATGTTGTCACGAAGTGGTGATACAGCATGCAGTCAGTGTGATTTATTAAGAGTTAAATCTGCACAAAGAAAAACCTCAGTGAGATTTGTACGTTTTATTTTACATTTTGAGTAAATGCGTCACTTGTAAACCGTGTGCACATGTGTCGTATTAACGCAGACTGCTGGAAAGCATGCAGTCAGCGTGATGTATACAGCTGTAGTGAATCTACATCGAGGAACAGTAAGAATTTTGCAATTTTCCACGTGTTTACATTACATTTGGAGTAAATGCGACACTTGTAAGCGCGTACACACATTGATTTATTACAGAAATACACACAAGGTGTACACTGATTAAAAGCATGATAAATACATCTTTACAGGATCAACTTTAAACCTGAACTGATATTTTTTACATTTTACTCTCATGCCTACTGATGGAATGCCTTCATATGGGATCAACACTGATTTAGTGTTGGGTTTAAGTAGTGCGTAAATAGCGTCATTAACACTTAATTAGTAATATTTGAGTGTCTTGTATAACACGGCTCTGTATTTGAGGTTGTTGGCTCAGGTTTCCCAGGCTGCCATGTTACATAAAGGCTGCCTTTAACTCGCTGTCTGCAGCACACACACTGCTGCTTTGTTCTCACACACTGCCTGCTATACATGCACATACCATAAGACCCCATAGGAATACCACTGGATTTCCCCCTCACTCAGCCTGCTCCACTTACAGCTTTTACTGGTTACATTTAAGGCTTTTACAGCGTTTTTATTATTATTATGAAAGCATGGTTTATAGCAGCATGTCCTGACTGGTTAGCGCTTGGAGCTTTTTAAATGCTAACTACCCTCTTTGTGCCGAGCAAAGCAGGTTTACTATGTCAAATAAGTTGTGAAACGGTAGCAATGGGTCCCGGGAAAACACAAAAGCCTCCTTTTCCACCCTGAGGGTTTTGCTTTGCATGCCAGCAGGTAGCCGGGGAAGCTTTTTATTCACTTTCCAGGGTGGAAAGAGGTGTTAGGTTTGGTCTCCCAGCTGTTGCTGTTATGTCACATGGATGGGAGGGTGTTAAAAGTTTTTTCTGTGGGGGATTTTGGGGGAGCATTTTGGGGCGGGGCTACGATGATGTAAACACTGATAAAGAGTGGCTCACAGTGGGGTCGGGTCTCAGTCTGGAGGAACTGGTTTAATCTTTCACTACAACTCGGATTACTACATTTCAACACTCTGGATTTTAACCCCTCACTACCTCTTTCTTCCTCAGATTCTGTCAACATGCTTCAAAGCTTCTCCCAGTCTCAGGACTGGCTTTACACAGAGCCGCTGTTATTTGACGATGAGTTCTGCCAGAGTTTGATGAAGGACCTACAGAGTCTGCCGACGCCCCCTCAGTCTCCTCCGATGAAGCCGGGTTTGGGCGGCACCAAGCCTCTCTCCAAAGAGGACCAGCTGAGCTACGTGTCCGACATCCTGCTGGAGGACCACGACATGCAGCTCAACTGGAACTCTGACTTCTTCCACAGCCAGGAGAGTAAAGAGGGGGATGTGGGAGAGCCCTGCTCCCCCCTGGAGGAGGAGGAGGGCGGGGAGGACTGTCTGTGGCAGTGCCTCTCCGGAGACAAGAGTCTGGAGGAGAAGCTGGTGTCCTCCATGCTGGGCTCCAGCCCGCTGCTCTCCGACATCAACACCTCCATCTTCGAGGAGATCGCCGGCTCCACGCTGGACTGCCAGAACCTGATGGAGCCCGGAGAGGCCACGTCGGACTACGGCTCCACCGCGGGGGAGCTGTCCACCTACTCCTCCAGCGACTCTGGTGAGATGATAATAACAATAACAATAACAATAAATCCATGTACTCGTCCAGCAACTCTGGTGAGACAACACCTCTTGAATCCTTCAACAAAACTCACTTATTCAAGAAGTAATTGCTTTTATTATCATTTGTACATAGCTACAGTGTAGATATGTGTACATAGCTGCAGTGTAGATATTTGTAAATAGCTACAGTGTAGATATTTGTACATAGCTGCAGTGTAGATATGTGTACATAGCTACAGTGTAGATATGTGTACATAGCTACAGTGTAGATATTTGTACATAGCTACAGTGTAGATATTTGTACATAGCTGCAGTGTAGATATGTGTACATAGCTGCAGTGTAGATATGTGTACATAGCTGCAGTGTAGATATGTACACATAGCTGCAGTGTAGATATGTGTACATAGCTACAGTGTAGATATTTGTACATAGCTGCAGTGTAGATATGTGTACATAGCTGCAGTGTAGATATGTGTACATAGCTGCAGTGTAGATATGTGTACATAGCTACAGTGTAGATATTTGTACATAGCTGCAGTGTAGATATGTACAAATTAAATGTATTATTATTCATCCAGTGAGAATTCACCTTATAACACCCCTTGAATCCTTAAATCCTCTCAAAAGTCACATATTCAAGGTATTCTGATTCTGATAAGGTTTTATTAGATAAGATAAGCTTTCATCTATCCCTGAAGGGAAATCACTTTGTTACGACACAGGGACAGAGCTGCTGATCTATGATGCCCTGCCTTTTATTTATTTCAAGTATCCATGGGAAAAAGTTATGTAGAGACGATATAAAGAAAAGTAGGTCAACATATAACAGTAGTAAGTGATAACAACAAATCCACGTATTCATCCAGCGACTCCGGTGAGATAAGGGTTCATTTGATAAGATAAGCTTTCCTTCACCCTGTAGGGAAATCAGTTTACTATGTTGCAACAAAGGGACAGTGCCCTTTGTCAACATATGTAGTAAGTAGTAACAACAAGAAAACCAGGGGTCAGCAATGAGAGGGGAACACAGGACAAGGGGGTAGTGATAACCAAAAGGACAACCGCAGCGAGTCACAGCAATAATTAGATTTTAAAAAGGAAGTGAAAGTCCAAATGATAAATAACAATAATATTATAAAAACAGAATAAGCAGATACAAGTTAAAATAACAATATATAAAGGCAAGTACAAGTAACAACAATAAACAAAGAAATACATGAAGATAATAAGAAAATAAAAAAAGAGGTCAAAGATGTGAATAAATCCTAATAAATGTCTTTTTATGCTATTATGAGTCTTTAGCCCTTAATTATCTTAACCTTTAACGAGGCGCTCCCCTTATTGCATTAAGTGTTTGACTCCAGGTTAATCTTCTTATCCTGCAGCATCTAAACGGCGTGAACGCTCCTCTCGGATCTCTGGCATTCCTCTGATAATCCCAGTTAGTGTTTAGTGGCTCTGAGCCCAGACCATAGTCTATTGTAAGCCCCGCCCACAGTCTATATGAAGCCACGCCCATCTGTAATCCGCAGCGGGGCGGGGCTTAAGTCACCGATTGACACATGAGAGGTTTTAAAGCTGTGTGTGTGAGTGACTCAGGTTTGGCGGCTACATCCATTAACTCCTGACCACTCATTTTACCGCCTTCCGGTTATAAACAATCACAATGTATTAGCTTTTAATGCAACTACTATTTTACTTTATAATACTTTTCAATATATAAATAAAATGATAACAATCACAAAAAAAAACAGGAATATAATTAATTATAAATAAAAAAAACAACAATATTTAAAAAATAAAATAAGCAGATAAAAGTTTCATTAAAACAAAAAAATATTTAATAAGACTGTAAATTTAAAGATAAAAACGGGATACATATAATAATTTAAATAAAAATCACAACAATCTGATAAGAAAATATAAAAAGTTTTAGCTTTTCGTTGTGCTATTTTACTTAATTGCACTTTCCAACAGTTAGCGCACGTTAATGGCTACCTGGTGTGTGTGTCTGTGTGTACAGTGTCTACACTTTTGTTATTGGTGTTAGCTTCTTAAAATGTCGTGTCGCCATCACCCAGCGGATAATGTTACCACAGGGGTCGAAAAACAAGTGTGTAAACTCATCCAACAACTATACATTGTTTTTGTAACTGGCACACCAACTTCTTTCGGGATAAATAAAGTCCTATCTTATATTAACCCGTTTCTTCTTCTTGTGTTACAGAGGAGGAGATAGACGTGGTGACGGTGGTTCGGTGCTCCTCAAGCCCCTCCCCTCGCGCCTCATTGGCCGACCTGTCCACCCGTCAGCAGAAACAGGAAGAGCAACAACGAGCTCAGCAGCGCCAACACTTTGAGATCCAATCGCAACACAATTACGCCGCTCCGTGTCCCGCCTCTCCGCCACCTTCGTCCAACAAACGCTCGAGAGGAAGCGACGGATCTTCCCGATACCATCACTCGTCGAGAAACTCCTCGTCTTCTTCTTCGTCGCGGTACCACAGCCACAGTCATCATCACAACAATAGCAGCAGCAGCAGCAACTCGTCACGAAACTCCACGGAGACGGAGGATGAAGAGGAGAGGCGGCGAACGCACAACGTCATGGAGAGGCAGCGGAGAAACGAGCTGAAGAACTGCTTCGTTCACCTGCGAGACAACGTGCCCGAACTTTCCAACAACGACAAGGCGTCAAAGGTTGTGATCCTGAAAAAGGCCAGAGATTGCATTTACGGTTTGGAAGATGAAGGACATCGACTTCAATCCAAGAGAGACAAGCTGAGGGCGAAACAGGAGCAACTGAAGACTCGGTTAGAGAGGCTGCGAAGCTAAAAGGCAGCCATCTTGAATTTGTTTTAAGTGACAATGCAAGGGGGGGAGGGAGAGACTGGGTACACAGAAAGGGATGCAGGATGGCGTCATGCTGCAAAGAGCGCACAGAAGTTGGACTTTCTTGTAACGATGATAACGCTGGACTGAGCAGACATGCTGCCAACGGAAACACAACACACTCATTGCCTCAGAACTCATTATTCTCATGCCTTGACGGCTGACTGTTGTAGAGAGTAGGAGGGTTTTTGATAACAAAGCGAGCAGATTTTTTATTTTTTTAAAGCTTGGCTGAACGCACACTGAAAGACTATATATAAAAAAGGTCTATCGTTTCTTTTGGAATCTACTTTTTGGGGTGCAGAAGCCATGAAACTGGGAGCCACATCAGCTCAGGAGTTGAATGAAACTTGAATGTTGTGTTTTCAGGACATCTTATAGCCATACTAACCAGTGACCCCTCCACTCTGACAGGTGCCTGATGCTGGCTTCCAAGTTCTCTGGTCAAATGCACTTCTGTGTATTCCAATTTAATCCCAAATCTAATGCTTTTTGAATGATTTTCGATCAGAAAGGAGCGTTTTTCAATGTGCCGTCAGCCCTGTTTGGCCTCAGGCCGAAGCACCACTCTGTTATCAGGTTAATGACAGTACTTAAAACAGGTTTAATACTGTAGTAATAACAATGCTCCGCCTAAGTTCAGCTCGGAGTGTTTTCTCAAGTTGAAAACATGGGAATAACTTTGTATTTAAGTATTTTGTTTAAACTCAAAGGTAGCCATATTAAAAATGCAGGTTATTGTGAGGAGACTGAACCCGGGGAGGTGATCCTAAAATCGTGCTTTCGTAGCAAATCAGCCAAAGTCAAGATAAAAAAAAACATTAAGATTCTTTCAAATGCAAAAAAACGGAGACAAACCGGTGTCGTCCTGATATTCAAAGGTTAAAGTTCGGAGGACGCTGCAACGAACAACAATACTGTGATATTTACTTCTATAGCAAACAAGTGAACATTTAAAAAGCATTTTGATTATTGAAAGATCTATTAATCTAAAATTGACCTCATGACACTTCACTTGTCGTGAGAAAAACACCATTTAAAAAAAGATAAGATTGGCCATGGTTTCATGAATGGAAGCCACTGAGCAGCACTCCCGTGTTAAACAGCGTCCTTTTGTGTCCAATTAAACTTGTGTTTTTTATTATACGGACACGGTATACGCTGACGCCACCATTTAAAAGTTAAATTGAACGCTGTACATGTTCATCTTGGCAGAATTTAAAAGCCTGAAATATCTTTAATTGGGTTGAATGTTTAACTGAATGCTATTGTAACGCTAAATATCAATTATTGCCAATGTTCTCCCCATTAACGTGCTGTCTTTGTTGTGAAATGTGCAAATGTAAGGTAAACATTTGCTTGTCTTGTCAAATGTCTTAAAAAATGCATCCTGTTTTAGTTTCTTTACGAATTGAGTTCTGCCTCGAGTGTACTTGAACAGACCCTGGTTGTTGGGAATAATGAGAGTTGAGGTGTTTTGTTTTTTTTACGGTAAAAACCTGTTCTGCCTTGAAATGCATTCTGTTCAGCACTTCCTGTTGGATCATGTCGCTGTCTGGTTAAAACCTCATTTGCTTCCATTTTTTTTTTTTTTTTTTCTGGGGGAGAAAATGTTTCAATTTCCCATTTTTATGGGATTTCAGGTTCTAAATAACTGCCTCCTGAAGTCAATATGTGGTTTTAACAAGACAGCAAAGTATGATGTTTGTTTGTAAATGGAGGTAGAGGTGTTTTGTTGAAATGGTAAAAACCTGTTCTGCCTTGAAAATTAATTCTGTTTTTTATGTCGCTGTCCGGTTAAAACGTTGTCTTCTAACAATAGTTTTATATTGTCCTCGGACGCTTCAGCTCCTTGGAGTTTTAGCCATGTTCTGAAGTAACGAGGTTTCAACGAGACAGCGACGATGGTGATTTCTTTGTTCTTAGCATGATGAAAACCTACCTCCAGCCGGCTGCAGTCTGTTCTGCAACGTTAACGTTTTTTCTGGTTTAAATATTGTACAGATTTTTAAAAGAATATGTAAATATTTTTGTTATTGTATCATAAATTATTTTAGTCGCTTTTTTTTTTTTTTTTTTTCATTTTGAATTTGAGGATTGAAAAGAAATGTTATCCTTTACCAAGCAGCACTTTTTTTCTAAATATTGTCGTAATTAAAGAATGAATGAGAGCTGGGAAGTCTTTGTGGTTTTATTGCACGCACACACACATTTATACAGTCAACTGGAAAACTGTTGCACTTTTTGGTATTTTAATAGTAAAGTAATACAACTTTAGAGCAGAGTCCTGCACGGGTCTGATTTTCAAGACCCGCTCCCGCCCCGCACCCGCGACGTGCAATACCGAACCCGCCCCGCTACCCGCACATATTACCAATTAGTTCCGCAACCCGACCCGCCCCGTCGGCACAGGATCCGCAACCCGACCCGAACCCGCATATATATATGAGCAGTGAAAACGTGCAATTATTAACACACGCAGTTGCATATTTCTCTCAAAAAGCGTGGGATGTTGGTTATTCTCTCCATCTAGGATGACACCAAAAGCCTCCCAGACGTTGGATTTCGCTCTTGAGGAAGTGTTGGAAAATGCTGTATTCTCCGCTAGAGAGCTTCNTTTATGATTTATGAAGTCAAGGTGGCTAATGTTGGGCTATAAAGGAACTACAGCACGGTCACATGACTTCACGTCACCACCGCTAAGCTAAAAGAGGCTAATGTTGGGCTATAAAGGAACTACAGCACAGACATGGCAGTGTACTAAAGGAATGAGTTGGCTGGATAGGGGAACATAGGTAGCATTATAAGTACTAACCAGGTTAGCTTCGCTCTTTTCCTCATTGGTCAAACCTCCCCTGTGGTGTTTGCTTTGGCAGGTCTGATTAATAATACATGACACAAAGACTAAGCGGTCATTAAGTTTTGTTGCATTTTATCCACCATGCTTCCTCCTCAGGAGTCACTGAGTGCATTTCTGTTATCTGCATTTCTTTCCTTGGACGATGATGAAGGTTAGGTAAAGATTGTTTTATGGTCTGAGAAGGAATGTAATCAGCAAAGTGTTGTATTGAGTAATATAAGCAGCAGTGTGTGTGTGTGTGTGTGTGTGTGTGTGTGTGTGTGTGTGTGTGTGTGTGTGTGTGTGTGTGTGTGTGTGTGTGTGTGTGTGTGTGTGTGTGTGTGTGTGTGCTATGTAGGTCAAGGCGATCATGTGGATGTGACTGTCAGGTGTGTGTGATAGCAGCCAACATATCGGTCCAAATGTCATAAAAATCCTTTTGATGAGTGAGCGACAGATTAGGTTTGTTGTTTTATGAAAGAGTGCAGGGAGAGGCCTGATAGTGACAGTGCTGAATACACACAAACAATCACACACATGCTATCTATGTGCTAAATACACACACGCAAACACACACATACACACACTTTATCTCGGTCTGAAGTCTTGCTAACGCTGGTAAATACAGCGTTACATCTGGTAAAATGGAGTTAAGAGGCGGAGCTTCAAGCGATTAATCAATCGTTTATCATCTTATTGCTTCCTTTATTGGTTTATTGATAGGAATATACATGTAAACAATGTCACGTTTAATAAAGAGCAAATGGAGCAGTGTATTGACATCTGCTAGAGGTATTATTATAGCCAGCCTTGTCTCTGGTTTAAACACGTAATTCAAACAGGCGTTAAAAACCATAAAATACAATCGAGATAGACAAACAATCGCTTCAAACAGTTCTAGAAACAACATTCAAAAACAACAAAACGAATAAACTGGATTTAAATAAAACAATATAGCTTCCCAACAAAAATGTACCCTAACCCTGTTTGAAAGTACCTACAATACCCAGGAAATGAATAAGTCTGCATTTTTGTGAGACATTTTAAAAAGCAAAAGCCAATGGATTTGTAGCTTTCTCATCACGTGTGTGCTGTGATGAGGTGAGTCTGTAGCCTAGCAAGTGCTCCATTCACAAAAAGCCAACGGGATTGTTGCATTGGATTTTTGCACAGAAAATAATCTCTGACATCTTTTTCTAAAATGCATTGGGTTAGCAAAGAAACCGGAGCAATGAATGGCCTCTCTGTCTCTTTTTATTCACTGTACTTATTAACCATCTTAACTTTATTGGAATGTATTCTAAGTGACATAAATTGAGCACGGCTGCTGCTCTCGATGAAGGAAGGAGGAAACTAAAAGAATCTGGAGCCACAGGGCAGAGTATTTAATTTCGTTAGATTTTGGGTGGAGTGTCACTTTAAAGTCAAACTGTAACAGACCAAGCTGTGTGTGTGTGTGTGTGTGTGTGTGTGTGTGTGTGTGTGTGTGTGTGTGTGTGTGTGTGTGTGTGTGTGTGTGGGCGTACAGTAGCTGTGTTCTTTTGGCTTCTCATGTGGTTCAATGACCTAGATTTACTGACTCATTCATTCTGATTCGCCTCATCACGGCAGAGAAAAATGGAAAAGTAATGCACTGGAGAGAGGGGGAAAAAATGAGAAAAGAGGTGAGGAACAATGGAGAGGAACGGAGAAAAACAAAAAAAGGGAGAAAGATGAGACATGACGCTGAGTTTGGCCATGTTTTTTTTCCCTGTACTCTGCAGGAAATAATGAGAGAGAAGGTTATAACAGAACTCGGTCCAAACCACACTCTGAAAACACACTCTCAACCACAATACTACACACACACACACACACACACTGAATCACAGTCCTACACACACTCGAGTCCTAAATGGAAAGATGGCTCAGAAGCTTCGGTTTTTTAACACAGGAATGCCGCCGTAGTGAGCTGGATTTGATGACTGGTGGCAAGAAATAGTGCCAAAATGTTCAAAGAAACCACTAAAACCAGTACTTTTTGAATATTTCTGAATCTACTGTTTCCATAAGAACACACAGTATTTATGGAAAAATCAGACCATCATATTTGAGCTACTCTACATCAAAATATGGCTAGCTTTAGACAGCTTTGTATAGCTTCTAGTCTGGTAGCATTTAGCTTCATGTAGCAATGTAAATGTAGAAGAAAGGAACAAAGAAAAGTCAGCGATATTAAAAACATTACTATTGTGTCTTGCATTCAGACACAATAGGAACGGACAAAAAATAACACAACATTAAATAGAATAAAAAAAAAAATATATATAAATCTAAAATGTTTAATCTAAATCTAATACAAATCTTAAAAAGTCTAAATCCCCCACAATTAGGTTTTCTGTTTTTGAGGAACAGAAATATTGTTTTCTGGCATCACTTTAAAATTTGACGTGGAAAATCTGCATTTTGGTATATTGACTTTCTCAGAGCTAATGGACAACAGCTTCGTCCAACTCTTCTTCTCCCGCGTGTTTTCTGCACAATATCAAATTGTCCTGGACTTAGAGTTCAAATTTCACGTGTGATTAAAGTCTTGCCAGTGTGATGCAGCTGTTCTCCGTCATCATCTCCATGAAATCACGCCGAGAAGTGAAGTCCACTTTTAGCCTGGATGTGACTCAACAGCCGGTAACTTCTAGATTCATGAAAACTGACGCAGCTGCCCTACATTCCCCCTCATCTGTAACCCATTACCCAGAAGCCTTTGCTCCAGATGAGATTCCCTCGAGGTTCATTTCCTGTCTGCGCGTCACCTGCTATGAGACTCATGTTAACAGACTGAGGAGATTATATCAGCGCTCTGTCACCAGCACGGGACCCTGAGTTTCAAGTTTCAAGATTGAAGTGCTCCTGTGGGGGTTGCCCACAGTATTGAGTATGTAAGTCGCTTTGGATAAAAGCCTCTAACGAGTAACATGTGATGTGTGTGTGTGTGTGTGTGTGTGTGTGTGTGTGTGTGTGTGTGTGTGTGTGTGTGTGTGTGTGTGTGTGTGTGTGTGTGTGTGTGTGTGTGTGTGTGTGGCCTGAGGTTTTAGAGATGTCAGGCCTGATAGCCGCATGAAGATGTNCTTATATTCGTTAGCATAGCTAGCTAACCAGATGCTTATAACAACAAAGTTATTGACTGTATGATCAGTATGACAGATGAGCAGATCGCCACTGGGCTTTCAACTAAAGACACAGCCACGCAAAAACTGCGGCATGTGTACGGCTCCTTATGGGTACTGCAATTTGCAGAGTAACGTTCTGGTGCTCTCCGGCAGAACTGCACCCCTGTCAGACAAGCCCCCAGGAAGTGCGCCGGACTCAGATGAAAATATTCGTGGTGGCCAAACGGCAGTACTACACCTCCGTTTGGTTGCCAGGCCCGGAAACACTTTTTCGCATTGACTTACATGGGGAAAGAGTGGTCTGTAAATCGTTGGATAATTTTTTTAAACTAAATAAACTACCCAGTATGAACACTTGTATAGCCCTTATTAAAAACATTTGTTCCTCAAGTTGTAATAATGTGCTAATAACGTTATTCTGAGAGTTATTTCCCTCTGCATTATGAACACGCATTTAACCCACGGGACCGCGCCGCCCGGCACGTTCATGTTACGTGTCCCGACCAATCAGAGCACACTGTGCTCACAGGGAGGGTGGGGGCTGGAGCTATTGGAGCTACAACGAGCCGTTAAAGGCAGAGAGTGAAATTCAGTGAATACACGTAGTTTACAGAGATGCTGTATGAGAAACCAAAGTGATTTTGGAAAATTGCACAATATAAATCTATTCTAGTAGACCTCAACAATGGAATTATGATCAGTGGAAATGGCCATGAAATGGGACCTTTTAAGAAAGGTGCCAAACTCAAGGCCGTGGGCCAAATCCGGCCTGCAACTTCAATTAATGTGGCCCACAAGAGCTCTGAAAGAATATAATATGTTTATTATACAGTTACATGCCACTTTACAGAAGCACGTTAAACTCATAAACTACATGTCCCACAATACATCTCATTTTGTGACATGCGCACTGAAGAGACTTGCAATTATTTGCCCAGACTTCTGCTTTCAGACATAGTTCATTATGAAGTTATTACCCTGTCCTAATAATCCAATGCAGAGGCAATAATGTAATACATTATTTTATATATATTATGTTTTTATATAAGTATATTTATATTGTCTTAAAGTTACAACCGGCCCTTTGAGTGCAATGATAATGCTAATGTGGCCCGCGATGAAATTGAGTTTGACCCTGCTGTTTTAAGACTTGTTTCTGCACCACTCTTGATTGCAGAACTGT